GTCATTATTTATTAGTTAGTTTATTATTTTAAACCAATCAAAAACCAAAAAGCAGTACATTGTTTAATATATCCGACCAGTAAGATGCTTATCATGCTATTATGCCTAAAATAAATAATCTAACTAATGTACAAAGTTTATAATATTACTTAGGAATATAGAAAGAGTGAAGTCTTCAATTGCTCAATAGTTTTACCGAGCTAAGTTCTTAGAGGATGTGTTGGGGATAAGCCCTTCCAATTACGCTGATAAATTATATTCAAACACCAAAATTTATTGACACTACCAACAAAACTCGACATACCTAGGGGGATCAACCCCTCACATCATGCTAACAAATTAAATTCACATTACTACTCGAAACATTAGTAGTTAGTACTCGAAATTTATCGGTATAATTCGGGCCCTTTCATTCACGCTAATAAATAACTATTTTCCAACAAATAACCCATATCTTATAACTAAAGATCCGATATATATACATTTAAAAATGTTTATGGCCTTAGATATTGAATGAGAAATATGTGCCTGCTGCCTTGCGGCATATATCATGCGGAATGTCGGAATTTTTTCTTTGTAGATTTACCTTAGTTAGTTACACTCTGTTAGTATGTGTAGAGAGATGATTTCTCAACACAACGTGCTGCTGCGTGGTCTCACCTCAGTAAGAAGATGTCCGTGTGCAACTTGGTAAGTACGATGCAGTGTGTTTGAGAGGTTGTGGCGTGCACTATGTATTACGAGGATGCATTCACTCCATGGTCGCTCCACCCTACACGGCAGTAATTTACGCGATTTGGCACGCGTTTGGAGGTGATTCGAAATGATGGTGGCTCTATATATCTTGTCTGTCCAGACGCCCTAAGCGCGGTCACTGCCGTCCATGACAAGAGACCTCCGTCGATAATCTCGTCATGCTCATGTTGGAGAGATTCCGCGAACAGGTGTCAGTAAAACGGTGATTGTTGCCTGGGCATCCGGACAGAAAGGTCTGGAAGCTAACGAAACTAGGGGGCTAAGGCCAGGACGTCCTACCCTCCGGATTTATCGCTGGAAATGAATTAAAAGAAAGTGGGATTGTAGGTAGGCTGGATCGGCATAGAAACTCTCACATATCAAGAGCATTGTCGATGGGTCGCTCTCGGAGGATCTGACTCGGCAAAGAAGGGTCACCCTCACCCGATTAAAGATAGGACATGCGAGTTTGACACAAGGGACATCTTTACCTTTGGGCAAAAGCCCGCGTCTGTGGACGTCATGTAGAAAAAGGTTGCTCGATGCGTCCCTCTATACTGATGGATGCAACATTATTAAGATACATAACATATATTAAGAGAGTGTGGGAATGCCACCCGATATGAGTATTGTGCTTGACCACGGCACCGAGTACTCTGGTTGCCCCTAGAAATCAGAACAGGGCTGTTTTTACGGATGTAGTACTTTATAGATACCTCGTTTTGTGTTTCTTATGTTGAGACTGAAAGTATTTATTAGCGCGAATGCTTTGTGTGAGAGGGCCAATCGCGGAATATTGTGTATCCCATCGACCCTCAATTAGGTAAGTTATATAATAGGTACTCCACCATCCTAACTCAGTGAAATAAGAAAGAATCTATTTAAGCGTGAGTGAGAGTGGGAATGGGTTTGGTTACAACATAAAATAAGGATCTTTATCTGAATACAAATAAGTAAATACTACACATAGCATCACAGTAACCAATTCACTAATCCTGTTAAATATGTAAAATTCTTTTCCTTTAAACTTGAACGAAATTATTAATTTAGTATGTAGCTAAAAAAATTGACTGTTCTGGATTTCTGAATCTAGAAAGTTGATTAAACATGCATTACATAGTAAACTTGTTTGATGGGAAAAATATCAATCAGCACTTTTATTCTGCCTTTCTTTCATAGCCACCTATAAGATCTATTGTGGAATTGCCCTTTCTTTCTTACTCGGAGAAAAAGACTTTTTGAATTTGTTTATTATAAATAGGGTGTGGAATTCTTCATTCTGAACACAATTTGTTGAATCACGTTTCTCTGTTTCAGTTCATTTTGTTTTTCTCTTAACGTGTCCTGTCTGACCTCTGCTGTTGCCAACCCTTGTTTAAAAAAAATCAAACAAAATAAAAAATTAAGGCGTAGAGGAAGTTATATTTTTTAAATATTTTTCCACGTGTCGTGGATGGGTATACAACACAGAATAAAGATATGTATGTCAGAAGAGGACCCATAAAAGACATGTTTCGATATTTCCGCTTTTTCGTAGAAGTTTAATTTTCTTTCCTTATCTCCAACTCTTCCAAAAATATCAATGTTATATTTAAAATGAATTGCCTGTCATAATTCCCTGCTGTTCGAGTCATCCGTTAAAAGGCCTGCCGATTTCTCGAAGTACCATTACACTTCATAGGGCGATAAATTTTAATGGAAAAGGCTCCAAATCAAGACGACGTTTTGGATAGTTCTGACGATAAGCGCATGTCGATCCACCGGCCGAGTTGATATAGTGGGTTTTGGGGAGCGCAGCTGTTCTTTTACGGGGCAGCCCACCGGCGCTTTACACGGTAATTTATGTTTTCGGACCGATCCCTGGAAAAGGCCGAGACCTTTGAAATGGGATGTAAAATTAACAAACGCCCCCGGTTGCAAAAAAAGAAAGATACGCTTCAACAAACACTGCAAATTTTCTTGTACCATTAGCTCTTTACTGCTTGGAAAAAGCCCGAGAGGAAAAAAATTTTTTTTTCGTGAACGATGTCCACCACCTTCCAAATTATCTCTTGTATAGATAAAATGAAATAGGTTTTGCCAGGAAAAAATCTATTCTCGAAACGGTGTTGGAATTAGGTGGTACCAAGTTTTAATTTAGTTTTCGAAGTATTTGAAGTGTTTTAGTTTGGAATGCGTAGCAATTTACATGCGAAATAGACAACGACCGCTATTATGCCCATGGGCCTATGCTGACTAATCAATATCAGTTTGAAGTCATTGTTGCTTTTTGAAAAAATAAATAAATAAATAACCACGAAACGTAAAATCTGTCTTTTTTTGAGGTTTGGAGGTTAATTAAGGATTTTAAAAATCCTTTTCTCCATTGCGACTTGTTCCATTGAAGAACCCGTATAAATTATAACCATACCTTGGATGTGCACTTTTAAGACTAAGCACTTTCCTTGGTGCCTCTTTGCGCACCTCTTCTGGTGAGAGGATCGCCTTACCGAAGTTTTTTTTTAACTCTCCTCCTTTCCCGCCGTACCAAAGGGAGACCTTATACCGACGGACCAGCCGTACTCTAAACTTAATTCAAAAGGGCGCGAGGGATTTGTTGTTTTGAGACTAAGCTTCCGTCCTATTTCCTAGCTGATTGCCGAGGAATTAGGAGGGGAAAGGGACTAAAAAGCAAGCTTTGAATTTAAATAAACTAAATGGGTTCCTGTTGTTTCTCTCTCACATATATATATATGTGCATCTTTGGTTTCATCATTAACTACTGTGCACTGAATTGTATTGCATGGACCTCAGCTTGAAAAATAGTTAGGATTGGTAGAAGTGGCTTTGCTAGGGTACAGTTCGGCCTTTTACTTCTTCCTTTCTTCGAGAGATCTCTATTTTCTACATCCACTTGGAAGCGTATGTAAAAGTTGAGTTTTTCTCTCATTTTGTCAGGTACCGTATATACCCATATTATTTATCTTAATTCTTTCCCGAAATTTGTGGTGGCTCTTTTTTAGGCCTGCCTTTATTTCCTTGTAACTCAGGAGGTTGTTGTCACTCGCAAACCTTTTTTACAAAAATATGTAAGGAATAAGGTCAGATGCGGGCAGATATGCATTGCGTCTGTTTTATTATGGCACGCTAGTCTTTGAAGACTTGTAGGTTGATCTATGTCTCCTTGTTCATATGGGACCATGGGCCTGGCCATTGTGGTGTATAACTAGTACGCCATTCTAGGGTTTATTCCCCAGGTTTGCTTCATAACCTCTGACATGCACTATGTATAGGTCATACCAAAATCACACACGACAACCTCTTACTTAGATGTGACCACGCAGGTGGGCATCGTGTTGATAAATCATCTTTGTAGAGCACATACTAACAGACTGTAACGGATTAAGTCTGCAAGAAAAAGAAGTACGACTTCCCAAGGTAGCAGGCATAGATCTCTGATCTAATATATCAGGGCCATGAGTATTTTTGAACTGTATATATCTTTTTGTATGTACTTGATACTTTCATTACAGAAACTTGTGCAATTTATTAGCGTGAATGTAGCAGATTATCCCCAATTTTCCCAAGAAATATCCAGTATTCTGGAGTAGTGTGAACAAAGTCTGGTGTGAGAATGTTATTTATTATTGTGAATGGAAGGACTTGTTACAATCTACCTCGTGGAATATGGAGTACTCTGGGCTAGTGTCAATTAATTTTGGTGTGAGAATATAATTTATTAGCGTGAATGGGTGGGCTAATTCTCAATTACCCCGATTAATACTGAGTACTCTGGGGTAGTGCGAATGCTATTTATTGGCGTGATCGGACGGGTTTATCCCAAATTTCCTCGAGAATTATCGAGGGTTCTGGGTTAGTATGACTGAATTGTTGTGTGTGAATTTAATTTATTTTTGAAATAATTAATTAATAATTTAATATTTGCGTAAATGGAGGGTTTTAATTTCTAAACACCCTCCTCTAACGTAGCTCAATAGACGTATGGCGGGGTTGACCACGTCATTCTTGTATCTTAGGGTCAAGGAATTTTGGTGTGTGGATATAATTTATTCCCAATTACCCGGTGAATATCGATTACTCTGGGGTGGGAAATGTGACTGATTACAGGTGTGTTAGTGTAATTGATTAGAGTGAATTTTTAACATTGTAATATTTATGTTAATTAAGATTGTTTAATAATTTAACATTAATATAGATAATGCTAATCAATAAATTATGACACTAATTTATAACTAGTTTTAATATTGCTGTTTTCTTTCTTTTAGAAAGCCAAGCGAGCTGGGAAGAATGGTGGACCTACGACGGAATCTCAGGTAAAATGGAACTTTTCAAAAGGGAGGCTAGGTGGAAGAATAAGATTTGGTATGGAGTAGCTAAACTAGACGGGGAGCGATTTCTTTTGGGATTCGAGTAATTGATCAAGGGCTGGAGGATATAGAAGACAACCACTCGCCCCGACTCCCTCGCCCAATGATTAATTGTCTTTCGAATGTCCCGTATTAACAGTATATTGAGGACGGGACGTAGAAAATCCGATTTTTTCGAGAGCACCGATTGATGAAACCAAAGTTTTTTTCCCCTTATTATATGCCATTATTACTATAGATAATGATTTATTATATTTTGTATGTTGCCGTTGATTTTTTTTTTTTTTTAAAGAAGAACAAGCCCTGTTATATGTCTTACTTTCAATAAACTAACTATTTTCCTACTAATAAATCTATTGTTTGTTTACAAATATTTTTAAAATGTATTAATTTTATTTACTAATTTTATTCATAAGCTATTTTAGGTTTATGCTAGGTTAAATATTAATTTATCCAATTGCTCTTTTGAGGGTTTTCTAGAAGTTTTTCATTTCTTAATTTACACTATTAACCCACGTTATAATAAGCGAGCTAAAATTATAATGATATTTATATTTACAAACAAACAGGTAATCCTAAAACTACTTTCGTCCTGATCACCCTTCTTCAACTTCCTTGTTAATATAAAAATATTGCCTTTATTACGTACATACTATTAGCATATAATAATATCAAATTAAAGTGAACTTTAAAAACTATTTAGAAGGCAAAAATAGTTTACACTTTGCATGAATGTCATACTACAATAGGGATATTTACTATAACGTTAGTGAGACGGTAACGCTAAATTGATTTATACGTTCATGCGCAGATTTTACGGAATGCTAACTGAAATAGCGTCGTACATTATTTGTCTTAGAATAGCTTGCCTGTGAACGCGTAGTTATTTTTGTTGAATATATTGTCCAGTTTAAAAAAATTATATTTTGTACAAATATAAAATTGTTTATTTTATAGTTAACACTTTACAAGTAGTACAAGTTTTCATGAATCCCGACTCCTAAGAATGTAAGTACATTTGGTGTTCCAACCTTAAAATATTTAGATGTTTTACGTACATACAACCAGGAATGACAGCTAGAAATACAGCAGCGTTATACTCTTTCCTCCAATAAAGCCACATCAGTTGTGTAAAACAGGTAAGATGAAAGTATAGAATGCGGAATAATGAGTTCGTATATAGTTAACGAACTGTACTGACATTTTACTTTTTCCCAAAATTGCTAAGAACTAAAAGCATTTTTGTCTTAAGAGTTTTTGAAACTTTTCGTCTTCCATTTTATTTAAATTAACTTGCACCGAAGCGCCCGGTAATGAATGTTTACTTTGTATGTTAGAGCTTCTACAACTATCAGGTCCTCAGTATTTGCCAAACTATCGTCAGCAATCAATAGAAAATTTAACATCCTTGAACGGTGCCTTTGTTTACAAACTTGCAAGATACATCTATAACCTGAACTATTGCAAACTCCATTTTTTTTTTTTTTGGCCTTATGGTCTAGCATATTGGCCAAATCTCTAAACTTCAAGTTTGAAATGTATACTTTTGTTGTATTATATTACTATATTATTTTGGGATATGAGCTTCAAAGAGAGGAAATTATTTTGGGATTGCGGGTAAAAGAGAGTATAATGGATATTGAGGTAGGAAGAGGGATATTATTAGAAATTAGAGTGTTGTAGAGGGACTCTCGGTTGATGGAGGTATTGGGACAGGCTAATAAAATATGGTTGGAATCAGCTATGCATGAGGGGTCGCAGGAACAGTAAGGAGAGTCTAGGATATTTATTTTATAGAGGTGGGAGGGAAGATAATTGTGGTTTAGGCGAAGCCGAATTATAGAGGTGCAAACTCCCCTTATTTAGCGACATAATCCATTCTGAAAAAAGTGTTCAACTAGCGTCTACGTTATTTGAAAGACGTTAAATTCGTGTCCTTGAAATAGCCGAAACGTTATGCAAAATCTCTCTACTATTGCAGTTAACATACATATACTGGGTGTCTCTTTTTCAATAAAAAAAATAATACTTATACTAAAAAAATTTAAACTGTAAGCCCATAGCTTTTCTCAACGACCTAAAATCAGTGTACTCAACACTTTTTTAACATTACATTATTAGGTAATCAAGTACCAATTTTTTTGTCAAATGAAACATACTACGCTTTGATACATTTTCAAAAACTAGATTGTTGTAATATAAAAAAATACATCACGAACAATTCTATTGGTTTCGCATTTCCGGAATTGTGTATTTCAATTGAAGGATTGGGGGGGTTATACTTTTAATGTTGTTCAAACAAAAATAAATATTTTGGGAATTTATCGCTTTTGTTAGGAGGAGAATTAATACCTAAACCCAAACACAATTGTTTATTTTTCATTGTTGTCCTAATAAATGTACACAACGTTCAATTTATTATTTTTCCTACAGACGTCTGTAATATTTAGACGTGAAGCTGGTAGACTGTACGCACTCAAATTTCATGGGCTGATTATACCAATCTTTAATACTTTCTTGCGTTCAAGACAGTTCGAGACAATCGGTCCCGTTGATAGTCATAGCCCCCAAACGAATAAAAAAAGAGGCTAAAATTTGATAACTAATTAGTTGTTTTAATTTTCATGAAAGGAAATCCAAATCCAACTTTAGGTAATGCAGTGCATGTATTTTATATTCCCATTCATATATTTCCAAAGATAGTGTACACCGAGATCTACTGTACTTATGTAGTTAAACCATACAAGATTTCTCTTATGAAAGGCTTGCGGCAAACCGACTATGAACAATGGACAACTTTTTTGGCTTGTAAGAAAACGTTAATGTAGCAAATTCTTGATTTAATATCCTATGTTCACTGAACTGATGAATCCAAATTATTAAAATTTAACAGTAATCGAAGTAAAAACGATAAGTAACAATGCCTATAGATCTTAGAACATTTATATTTATACATCCACGAATTGTTTAAACTTTGAGGGACAGCTGTCTTTTCTATTCCACCCCAAGAATCACTCTCACAGCTCTGTTTTGAAGAAAGTAAACTTTATGTAGGAAAAAAAAGCTAAATCTTGCGCATTTGATATAAAAAGGGCATTATAGACTGTGTGCGATGTTCAGTACGACAAAACCCCGTGTTATCTACAATATCCTCCACCCGAAACATTAAGCGAAGAGGGAATATAACATGACGATTTAAAAATAAAGCAGTTTAAAGAGAATGAGCTGGAACATGACAGTGGAGTTATCAGTATTAGTTTACCACGCAACCGGTGGCATTAACTTAGGAGGGGTAGGTTAGACAGAAACAATAATGGATCTAGCATGGTCCCTTGAGGCACTCCGTTGTTTTCATTCTTCACAGCCTAACACGCGATGTCCTTACCCCATTACTGACCACATATTTTAATACTCGAGGCCATATCGATAACATAGAGCAGAAACCATAGTGAGTACCCTTGTGGTAATCCCATTTTATCGTTCTTTACGAGAAACGACAGTCTAGAGTCATTGCTACCATTAACATCCACATACTTTAATACTTGAGTGACACTGTTATTATAGAGGAGAAACAATATTGGTCCTAGTATGCTTCCATGAGGTACTCCCATATTACCATTCTTCCTTAGAGCCTACCAAGCGGAATAATTGCCATTATTAATATCCAATATTTTAATATTCGATCGAGATTATTAACATAGAACAGTTCCTAGTATGCTCCCTTGACGCACTCCCTATTATAATTACCTCTGATAATCGAACTTGTAGAGTCATTGCCAATATTAATATCCGCGTATTTTAATGTTTGATAGAGGTGGATGAGCAAACACAATAGTGGGTCAGTCTCCCTTGAAGGCTCACCCATACAATCGTTCTTAATGAGAACAGACCGTGCGGATTCAATGCCAACATTAATATCCACATATTTTAATATAAATACACATAGTAAAAGCAATTGATCCATTTTAAAATACAAAAAAATTAATTTGATAGTTAACTTAGTTTCTTTTCCTTAATTCACATATTCTGAAATAGCACCTTCTCTATTTTAATAACTAGCAAGTAAGCACATACGGACACATTACTTTAATTTTAGTTAGTTTTTTAATTAGATAATTTTAATGGTTTTCAACATTTTAAACTTATATATATTTGCACTACGTACTGATTCAGTGTTTGGCTTTAGATTTTTATAAGCATTTTCAATATGATAATAATTAACCTCCATCCATAAAAAATAAAATCATTCAAGGAACTGATTTTTATAGATATATTCAATATGATAATAATTAACTCCGCCATTAAAACTAAAATCATTCAAAGAGCTTTGAATCAACTTTCGTCATGATTGAAACATGATCAGTCCTTAAAACCCGATTTTTATATATATATTTTATTGTTGTTGTTTTTAAGGTAAAAGTAGAGACATTTTACTCTTTCAAGGAGAGATTTTGCTGTGTTTGATTTGTCGTCTCTGTAAACATCTCTTCTTGTACGGGAAGGCAGTTTCCTTCTATCTCTTTCCACATCTCTGACTCACCTTATGATGTTCATAATTACGCGACTCTTGATTTTCTCGAAAAAAAATTACTCACCGACTTCCCTTTTCTTGGAAGGAATCTCGGCATACCCTTCGATAAGTCATTGGGAAAAAACAAGTCCCTGCTTGTTTGGAATGTATCGTAAAATAATACAACTGACGTTCCTTCCTCCCTCTGCGGACAAATATTTTTTTAACGTCACTTCGATACAACCTGATCTGTGCAAATAAGATTTAAAGCTGTAAAAATAAAAAGTTGAAATTTTTCCACTCTTAAATACAAATAATTAATTTAATTAAAGTTGTTTAACTTGAAAGTAAGCGATCCTTGCTGGGTTTAACATTACAGCCGCGAAGGGTGGAATGCTTGCATCAGCGTTTTCATTGGCCTTCTTCTTCCTTTTAA